GGAGGGGGCGGGCGGGCGCCTTCGGCAGCGGCGGGCTTTGGGACGGGCGGGAGCAGCCCTTGCGCTGCCTTCGCGAGGGGACGGGGACGTCGGGGACGAGAGCGGGGCGTCTGGGCGGAGGTGTCACGGCCGGGCTTCGCTCCCGGGCGCGGTGGTTCTCGTCCCGCCGGCGGTCTGCTGAGCGTGCCTCCCTGTCATCTCGGGAGCCTCTCAGGGCGTGAGAGCCGTTAACGCTAGGCTAGCGGTTTGCTGCTTCGTTTTTAAGTTAAAGGAGGTGTGTTTTTGTAAGGCGTTTTAGGTTGAAAGGCCCCCATAAGGGTCCTTGCTGCCCAGACAGACAGCTGTGTTTCTTCGTTCAGAGCGCAGTTGCTCTGAAACGAACTTTCACGTTCTGTCCAGCCGCAGTAAAGCATCTATAGTAGAAGACCTGTGTGGTCTTATGGTGCTGCACATGAGCTGTTCATGACCCTATTACAGTAGATTAATATAATTAAGTAGTTATCTGGATTCTGTTAAGCTTTGTAGTTGATAACAACCTTTTTGTTAAGCCTTTCTCATTGCTGGCGTATTGATACGGCCTTTTTCTTCTTTGGCTTTTTTGGTATGTAATGAAATAGGCCAATCTGCAGCCCCCTGTCAATTGGAGGGTTAAAGAAGAGGAGACACACTATTGGGTTGCATCTTGTCATTAAATCTATATGAACTTACTGTTTTGAGATGCCTTTTCCTCCCTCAAACTTGGTTGAAATTGAAGAGAGGTAGGAATCAAGCACTGTGGTTAGGTGGCTGGAGCACATGGCACATTGGTTGAGAGAGGCTGCGGAACAGAGGGGTTTTCTATCTAGGGAAGGTTGTAAGAGGGTATCTAATTGCAGTCCTCTGCTACCTAAAGGTGGGAGGGGTATACAGAAGACAGAGCCCCAGTCTTCCCAGGTAGGAGAGGCAGGTGACCTATAGGCACACATTTTCCTACTTGAAAAATACGTTCCTGGTAAGTGCAATTATTAACTGTTTGACAGAGAGCAAAACAGTTTGTTCGTAAGAATTAGTGTCAGATGGATCTCTGCATCTGAAAATCCAGCATCTCCTCCAGCTTATGATCCTTGTCTCCACCACCCCCCATATACTCTTCTTGTGCATTTGTGTGTGCCTCTTAAGTCCTGGATTTCCTTTTCCTCCATTATGTTAATTTTTATGAACAAAACTGCTTTTCTGTCTGTCGGACTCAGCTGATTCATCTGTGAGGCTGAATGCTTAACATAAATCTTTCAGTATGAGCGTTCTTGCTGCCTCCTCTTGAAGAGTTTCATTATCATCACCATCATCTTCAGCTCAATTGTGTCAGTCAAGGGTGAAGGACAGGAAAATGTGCAGGTGATGAATAGTGAGCAGGGTGTTAAATAACTGGTGCTGTAAATAAAACAGTGAATACAGAAGTGAGGAGAGCTAGCAGGGTGTGTTCATGTAAGAGCAGAGGCTGTGGAAGCTGTGTTTGTTCAGCCTGGAGAAGAAGAGAAGACTGTGGGGGATCTGGTTGTAGTTTCCACTGTGTATTGGGTGGAGCCACTCTTCAAAGTAAAGTGTTGAGAATGCACAAGAGACAATGGCTAAAAATGTAACATGAAAATTCCTCGTGGGAGGAAAAAGGGGAAATATTTTCATAATAAAAATGGTTAAACATTGCAAAAAAACTGACCAGAAAGGTTGCAGAATGTCCATCCCCGGAGACTTTGCACAGTCATCTGAATAAATGCCAGATCAAGCTGAATTAACATAACCTGATGTAGCTTTGAATTCAGCCCTGTTTCAAGCAGGAGGTTGAACTAGATGACCTCTGGACATCCTTTCTAACCAAACTATTCTATGATTTGGGAAATAGAGCCTTGACTTACAGCCTAAAAATATGTATGGAATTTAAGCAGGTTGAAGGTTTTTTTCTTTCTTGAATACCCATTTTGCTTTTAGAAACTTTATTTTAAGGACAAGTAAACTCTGGTTTTACTTTTAATTGGCTGCTTGTGTGATTAAAAATTTACACATCTTTCCTGTGACAATAATCTTTTTTGAAGGCAACAGGCTGAGGTCTGCTGCATTGATAAAGTTCATAAGTATTAATAATAGTAACTTGGCACAAGTTTTTCTCTTCTTCAGATAAAACGTTTGCATCTTTTAAGAAAAATGTAGCTGCTTTAAAATGTGATGATCATAATGGGCAGTCTCGTAGCTAAACTGTTAAAGCATACTGATATGTTGATACTTGTAAATGTTTTTCTGTATGACTTGCAGTTCTCTTTTCTGCAATGACTGTGGAGTATCTATACTTAGAGGTAATGTTTTATTACACTACTTCTCTAACAGCAAAAATTCAAGGCATGAAAAATGCTGTTCCCAAGAATGATAAAAAGAGACGAAAACAGCTGGCTGATGAAGTTGCCAAATTAGAGGCAGAACTTGAAGAGAAGCACAAGGAGGAATTAAAGCAGCTGAAGGAAGCTTCACCTGAACAGAATAAGGTAGGCGGCTTAACTTTAGCTGCAGTTGTACAGATACAATTTGTTAGGGCTTCTTTAACTTTTAAAATTTATAATGAAGTAACACTTTAAAGTATTTCTCCTTTTCCTCACAGTATTAGTAACTCTTCTCATCTTTGGAAAGATTCAGCTGTTACGGTGGGTGCACATTGCATACAGTGGGTGGAGGGGCATTTAACAGTGGGGATTTTTTTGTTGTTGAGCAGTATTTGGTTTTGTTCTTAAGGCTACATTAGTAGCTCAGTTGTCTTAAAGAATTTTTTTTTTTTAAGTTCTTGTTATATTGTCACTCTAATTATCTTATGTAGACTACTAGGGTATTGTTGGCCTTTAGTAGGCATTTGACTGATGTAGTGTGTTTTGTTTTGCAATTCTGTCAAGAATGTAACTGACCTTTTTGTAAGAAGCACTTTCTGTGATGGTGAGAACTGTTGTCTTAAATGCTGCTGTTCTGCCATGTTGGCAACATAGCTACATATTAAGTACTTCTGGTTTGCTGTTTGATGGCAAAGCACTTAATTTGTAACAGAGGCTTAGCATTATTCAAATTTAGCTGAAGGAAATACGACCACCTGAGTAAACTAGATACTATTAAATACTTGAGTGACATACAAAAATTCACCTTTGTTTTAGCACTTAATTAATTGTGTGTTGCAAACTCCTGTCATAGTGAATTTGCAATCCATAGACTTAGTTCTGTATATCCAGTACTGAAAAGAACTCTATTTGTATCATGTGCCTGAATTTAAGGACCGTTTGTCCAAGTAGGCCTGTTCATATACTTTCTCCTTTCTAAATGGGAATAGAGCTTATGGCTAAATTGGTGCAATACAGTTATCTGTGAATGATGCTAATGCTACATGCTCATACATCTCCTTAAGTGTTTCACGAACAGTGTGTCTCTTTTGGCTGTTTAAGTCTTCTAAAGAAACCAAACACAAAGACCTGTCTGCATGATGCTTTCTGGACTAACTGTTTTCTGATTAGTGACCTAACCAAAAGAGTTAAGCAGAAAGTACTTTTGTTTGAAAATGAGAATGGAAACGTTTCTGAATGACTTTTAGGGAAATAGAATTGATGAAGAAGCATCTGTTGACAATCCTTGTGGGGGGGGGAAAAAAAAAAAGGTTTACATTGGAAGAGTTATGACCCTATAACAATCTTCTGTAGTAGTTTTTAATCAGATGCTTAAGCAGGTGATTAATGCATAAGCATTAAATGTAATGCTTCTGTTTACCTGTATCTTAGATTAGTTTCAAGAGTTTGTTTTATTTTGCTAAATGAGCTGTCCAAACTTTACAATGGAGGACCTTTCAAGCTAAAATCTTTGCCCTAGATGTAGCTTTGCCTGAGAGGATTTTGGTTTGAGATGTGTAGTTTCTTTCACTTCTCAGCTTTTTTTATTTGGATTGAAACATGTCCATGCTTCCAAGGGTGACATCTACTTCATTCTGTTATGGGGTTAGCTTTGTCATTTTTCTTGAGAAGTGCCAACTCCCTGTCTTTTCCAACTGCTGGTTATGCTTTGGTATGGAAGGTGGAGCCCTCTCCTGCTTTAATTGTCACAGAACTTGTTAATTGCTGTTTGGGTTCTTCAGCTGGCTGGTATGGTGAGGAAAACTTTCAGCTGGTAAGCAGTGTTCACACTTCAGTGTGGAAGCTTACAAGAGAACATACAGATTAAAGTTTAGATGCACAGTTCATAACTGTCTCTTTGTTGAGACTTCAGAAAAAGTAATAAAATGCATGACAGTGGTTTAGGATGTGAAATGCTTTACTTTCGGCTTTGAAAGGTTCTGTGCTGTACACAGATCTTTGTGGTTACACTTCATAAATATACCCTGGAATTACCTAGGAACAGAACTTAAAACTGTTTTAGGAGATGCACATCTTGGTTATCATTTATATTAATAAGAACATTTAACATATTTTTTTTCTTTTCAGACAGATTCCATAGCTGATGGGGTTGCAAATTTAGAGCTTGAAGGAGTAGAGCAACAGATTCAACATCCTCGAATATCAAAAGCGCAGAAGAGGCGGGTATGGCTTAACATTTAAAAATTTTACAAATATTTGATTGAAGTTATATGACTTAACTGTAATAACCAAAGTTAAACAATTTTGCAGGGTACATTACCTGGCTAATTCAGTATTGATGCTGTATCTACTGGGTGCCTTGAAAATCTGTAAAGCTGCTACCTAGAGATATGTAAGCATTTTATAAATAGTTGTACTTTTTTACCCTCAGCCGTGAGCTGGGAATCAGAATAGGTCAGGAGATGGGAGCCAGAAAAGTAAATGATGTAAAGCAAATGTTTTTAAAAGAATTTCACTAAAAGCATTAATAAAGAAATCAAGTAATTGAATTAAAGTAATGTAAAATACACATAGAAAATATGCAAGCAGTATAAGTTTACACATTTAACAAAAGAACATTAACACTGAAATTCTTGTACATTTTTGAGTTGTTAAGAAACACTACCTGGTGTCCAGGCCGTTAGGGTTAAATCCTTTTAAACTTCAGATGCTAAATTGCGATGGATTAACATTCTCATTGTACCTGCATGAATGTTGGTTCAGGGCCAGAGGAGCACTGCTTTATTGCAGAGTCCATCCCCTGGTACATAATCACTACTGCAGAGCTGCCTTGTAACAAACATGATAAAAGGATGTTCTTAATTCATCGCACCATGTCTAGGCAAACTAGAAACTCTTGTTATTGCGGTCGCCCAAACCAGTCTGGTCTTGATTTGTGGTAAATTTTAAGTGTGAAAGTGAAAAGATCATTCTCAGTACTGCTTCCTTTTTTATTTTTCTTGTTTATTTTGACTCATAGTCCCTTGTTAACTTAAGCGTAAACTTACAATGTATTCTATAAAAGCCATGTTATGCATTATTACATCCCCTCTAGTATTCTCTGTATGCATTCTTATTCATCCTTTAGGTTAGGAGCAGTCTTTTATGATGTCTAGTAGCTAGCCTGAGGGAGTTTCAGTTTCATGACATGAGCGCCATTATGCAATCGTATGCGTAAGTGGTAGATCTCACACTTATTATGAAAGAGCAATATTTTCTGTTGTTTAATTAGAATTTCCATACTTAAGTTGTTTGCCAGTGTGGTGAAATAGGTGATCCTGAAGAAATGACTACTATTAATAGCCTTTGAACAGGTGTTGTAAAGTGTTATTTTGCACATTGATATAATTAAGATTTCTCCTGTCACATAATTTTGGGTGTGGTGTCGGAGGCAGTTAGGCTATGTTGGTCACTTAACTATTTGCTAAAGTTTGGGTTTAGGAGGTCTCTAAGATTCGGTAGTGCTGATTCGGGAGAACATTTCACAGATATGAATGTACTGAGAAAACATTTGAAGAGTTAGAAGCAAGCACTAAGCCAAGAGCTGTACAGACATCTTCTAAATTATAACATCTGATGTAGTTTTTGTGTGTTTTTTAATCTAAGGAAAAAAAAGCTGCCTTGGAGAGAGAAAGAGAAGAAAGGATAGCTGAAGCTGAGATAGAAAATTTAACGGGTGCCAGACATCTTGAAAGTCAGAAACTTGCCTCCCTATTGGCAGCAAGGCACTTGGAGATTAAACAGATCCCTTCAGATGGCCATTGCATGTACAGAGCTATTGAAGATCAGCTCAAGGATCGCCAAAATTCCTGGACTGTTGCAACTCTGAGGAACCAAACAGCAAAGTATATGCAAAGTCACTTTGATGACTTCCTGCCATTTCTTACAAACCCTGGTACTGGAGACATGTATAGCAGAGGTAAAGCTTATGGCATAAGAGATTTTAAAAACTGTTAAAATTATTTCTGATAATTCTCATTCTCAGTTACAGCTGAATTGGGACTAACCCATTATGGTGTTTGTTCCTGAACTATGTTACTTCGTTGGTTCGCTGTGTACTATGGAACACAGAATTATGATCTGCTGTGAAACTTGGTACACCTGGATCTTTGCAATGTTTGGTTTTTTTTTTTTTTTAAGTAATCTAGCAAACATTATTCCCCATTAAAAAAAATAAATATCAGAACTTGCTGGTTACTAGATGGTAATCATAAACTGGGATGTGATTTAGGTTGTATTATAAATAGCTTGTCTACCAGGTTACGGATGATTTTTTTTGTCAACTTTTGTATTGGTGTTTTCAATTTACATAGGAAGGCTGTTAAAAATGAGTGTGAAATTCAAGCAAACCCATTTTATAATAGTTTGCATAGATGATTTTTCTTATTCTACCCTTTATTTTCACTGTTCATGCTAGGTCTTTTGGCACCCTTTCTTATAAAAAAACTAAACTAAAAAATATAAAGGCATTTAGTGTGAAGCAATGGTGTAGGCTGAGTAAATGCAGTTAAATGGAATTTATGTACTTATCTGAGCAATTCATGGTTTATTAATTTCTTACTGCATGTCTGGAGCACTGTGCAAATGACTTTATAAATTTTTTTAACTTACTGCCACGTTCATTTAATAGTTATTGCTGTGGATTTCATTTGGTGATTGGGGTCTGTTGTGAAGTGGGAGGTGTCTCTCCCATGTTGACAGAGAAAATTGTCACAGGATAAATGTGTCCTTAGAGAAGACTTAATGTTAAGTTCTGCAGAGCAGCAGGGAATTGAGGGTTTGTTGTCTTCTAAGTCTGTTATAAGGGGAATGTATGAAAAACTATTCTGAGCAGTCTTCAGAAAATCTGTTCGTTCTTTATCAGAATATATTCATAGGGTTCAGAAGCCTGAAGGGTTGCAATTTATAAATTTGAAAGCTTGGTTTCTGTAGAACATGATCTGCAAGAGGTTTATTTAGCGGTTGACAAAGGAACCATTGGGAGTAAGTACTTCAGAGGTTAAAAACAAGGCAGCTAATTTGGAAAGTTAAAAAAAAAACACCCAAACAAAACAACAACAGTTGAACTACATGCAGTTACAAGATTTTAAAAACATACCTGACACCTAGCTAAAGTAAGAGCTAAGCATACTACTTGCTATCACATTCTTTTCTAGGGTGTCAAAACAGCATACTCTGAAACTTAACAGGAAGAAAACTATATGCAATTTCCTGCTTGTTATTAACAGTTCCCTGAACAAAAAGTTGAAAATGTAAATCTGTGCTTCTTTTTATTCACATACTTGCTTTTGTTCTTGTCTTCAGTCTTAATTTTTCTTTCTAAAACAGTTATGCAGGGGTTTTTTTGCCTCTGGTGTTTTTCGTTTCCTTTGCTTCTTTTCAGTGAACATACCTATTTTCCTGTATAGTGTGTTTAGACTTTTCAGGTTCTAGGTGTTCATTGTACAATCAGTATTTTTCCTCGGTTGATTGCTCTCAAGTAAGAGAACTACTAAAAGTTGTCTTGTCTTTCCCCGCAGAGGAATTTGAAAAATACTGTGATGATATAGCAAGTACAGCTGCATGGGGTGGTCAGCTGGAGGTAAGTGTTGTATTGATAATTTTTATTTGTGAAATTCTGGAGTGGGTGAATATACCTTCAAAAAAGGGCTTCTTGAGAAAGAATACCTGAAGGCATAAGGGAATGTAGTCATAAATAGTTTATCAAGAACTTTGTCCTATCGTTATAAATTTTTTTCCCAGATTAGTAGTTTTTCTGATGGTGTGCTGCTGTTCTGATTATGATGTATTTCACGACATGCAAGTTAATGAATTCAGTAGTTCTAAATATCATTAGAAGGATTGACAATACAAGTGGGGGAAGACTTTCTGAGAAAGTGTTTTATTACGCAGACTTAGATGGTAGGAAAGCTGACTGGAGTGGAGCAATGTTAGATTTTTGTAATGTAAACCAGAACTTGAGCTTGAGAAAATACATATTTGTTTTAGGTTGTGTCTTATTTATTGTTTTATGAAAGAGTTGTCACAAATTACTGAAGCTAGGCCAATGTTACCTGTGTTGTATCCTCAAAACAATGATTAATTTAAGGCAACCTGTTTTCAATTAAAGTTTAAAAAGTTAAGATGATTTTGCTTATTTTAATAAAGTTTATTTTCTAACAATATTTGAAATGTTATGCCTGAACTCGTGTCTGCTAAAACTAAATGCCATGCCTTCCTCTCTCCTCCTTACATTGGATTTAATCCTATTATTGAATTGTTTTTATGCCTTAAAGCTAAGGGCTTTGTCGCACATTTTGCAAACACCTATTGAAGTAGTGCAAATGGATTCCCCTCCCATTATTGTTGGTGAAGAATATTCAGGCAAACCAATAATACTTGTGTAAGTACGTTATTTTATCCCTTTTTAAAATTAGTGCACTTGATTTCTATAGCAGAGGGCTCAGCTTTGATTCTTACCTGCTCTTTTATTTTCTGTTACCTATCTGATGTTGAAACGCTGCTTGAATAATGATCTTGCAGGTGAGAAATTATGTTTATGATTGACACACGTAGTTTAAAGATATTGTAATTAGAGTTCTTAAAATGCTGACAGTCTGAAGTGTGATTCAGTCACTGCTTTATAGAATGCTACTGAGGTCATTTTACCTGTTACATAATTACAAAATAATAGTGAAATTGATATAAGATGCAAGAGGAAACTTCTTTTTTCTTTTCAAAGTTTATGTCACTGTGCTTGGAAGTCACCAGAATTTAAAAACTGTCTTTATTAATACTGACCTATTTAATGACCACATATATTTTCTGTGCTAAAACTTTATTTAAGCTATCTTCCAGTGCTGTTAATATTTGGCATGACGTATACTTTTAGTTAAGCTGAACACTAATTCCGTAACTACTTTTTTTTAGGTATATGAGACATGCGTATGGATTAGGAGAACATTACAATTCGGTAAAACTTCTAACAGATGCTGCTACAGAAAACAGCAGCTAGCATATAAAAGTCATAAATCCACATGGACAACAGTTGCATCTTGGTGTGTTCGGCTCCAGACAATTCCCAGACAGACTGGAAAGTGAAACTAAATGGAATGGATTAAAAATGAAAAAAAGGCATACAAGGTTTGACTATAAATCAGAAATAGCTCTTGATTTAAAACAAAACCAAACCAAAACCACAGAACAGTATTTTGAACTTGGTATTAATTACGTTTAGAAGATCTTCTCTAAATTGGTGGCTGTGTAGAGCAGAATTTTTTTTTTTTTTCAATAGAGCGTCATCCCATGCTGCAGTGAAAATACTGAGTAGTAAGTGTTTCGGTTAATCCGCATTTCTGCTGAAGAATTAAGGTTATTTGAAGGTTCCTGTTATGTTATTTCTGGCAGATTTTGATGATCATGGAAGAGTTAAGGCATTTTAAATAATTTATTTTCTTTTGATTGATGGAATAACCTTTACAGTGTTTCTTTAATTCTATCAGGATCTAGCTTTAAGGCTGTAGTAGAGATCCCCTTTATTTGGGCAGAGAAGAGCTGGAGGCAAATCCAGTAGTAGAATATCTTGCTCGGCTGGATGAATTGCACAAGCTTTTTATTTTAAAGACTTTCCATCTAGGATTTTTTACCAAGCTTTGATGACTTCTCTCTTATTTTTTTGCAGTTGACAGTAGGAACTAATGCTTGATGCTGTTCTGGTACTGAATCTGTAGGAAGAGCATTGTTTATGACTATGCATCATAATGTTGATGCAAGTTAACTGTGCTGTTCATCCTTCATAGTCTCTCATCTGTGCATTTCAATGATACAGAAATCTTATAAACAAAAAGCTCCTTAGTGTCCTCACTTCAGGTAGTGAAACTCACCTGAACTCGTCATTTATGGATCTGCTGATCTAAGCACTTTGTGTTCTAAATAAAGTGTGATGTTTTATAATACTTAAAACAGCTGGTTGCATACAGGTGTGAAAATAACCACCTTGGGTTTTGTGGGTAACTTTAAAGGTGATCTGCAGAAGAATTAAGTTTCTTTTCATTGTTCCTTATGATGCACAGAGACACTTGAAGTGGTTTTTTTTTTTAATATGGCTTGACTTTTTACATTAGAAACATGTATTTTTGTCTTTAAGTCACTGTAAATGTGACTCCAAAATTAGCAGCATACTGAAACCAAAGTTGTAATGCAATTGTTTTTTAACAATACAAGTGATTTTTTTTTTTTTTTTAAAGCCTTAGTCAGTAACATGATAATTGTCTGTATTTTGGCACTGATGAGTTGGTGTGGAGAAAGTGGTTCATGTCAAGTTTAAACAACTTTGCCCTGATTTGAGGATGTGTGCATCTTGTAGTCAGTCCTTCAGTAAAGCTAGCGAGCAGATTGACACTCCTGGGACTTAAAAATTAGAAAGAAAAATCTGTTCTTACTTAAGAAGGAGGAGATAAGTGTTCACTTTATGGATCAGATTATGTCTGATTTAAAGCACTTTGAGAGGGAGGGGAAAAAAATCAGGCAATTATAGCAGGAGGTTTTGGACAAGCAGAACTTGAATTATGACTTCTTTAGACTGGTGCCTGCCAGAAAAACAAAGTATTAACCAGATCAGGAGTTATAACATCCTTATTTATCTGACACAGTATAACAAATATAGCTGTATAGCAGCTGGTTTACTGTAGAATTTGGTTTACTACCTTGTTTGTATAAAATGATGTTTTTAATTTCAAACAAAGAATTGGTTACAACAGTATGGAAAAAGTGTTTATATTTGTAATACCACTATTAATTTCACTAAAAATAATAATCAGAAATACTCTTCTCTGTGTTGCTTAGAGTTGATATGATATGAAATGCACATGCTGCATTTTATAGATACCCTGTGAAAAATATTCTGTAGTTTATTGGGTTTTCATTCTTGTTTGATTAACTGACGGAGGAAAGATGCCAGAATTGTGGAATGTCTGTACCAACAGTTTGTCCTGTTGAAGATGTTTACAGTTTGTATAAAGCAAAATAATGTTTTAATATAGTGAGTGAAAGATCCTTGTTAATGCTGTATGGGACTTGCCAAAAAGTAATAAATCGGTTTATTTGTGGCAAATCTTGTTGTGGTCGCTTTTTATTTTGTACTTCGATTGTTCATGTCTTAATTCCTAGTATTAATAAGTTTACCCGTTTAATTTTTATGGCTTTAGGGTCCTACTGTAGTATGAATTCTCCAACAACTCACTATTCCTATTAAGTAGACAAAGCTTTACTCTTTATGAAATGAAGTTGTTTCTAAACAAAATTTATCCTCAGTGTTTTAGCAGTTAAACTTGAACTCTTCTATAAAGCTGTATTTGAAAATACTATTGAACTTCTCCATACATAAAAACAATCAAGTGAAACTGAGAGGATTTTTTCACAATTTAGCTTTTAACTTCTTTGTCAGGCTACATTTTTTCTGCAAAATAGCACTACTTATTTTGAGCTTACATGTATTTAAGTAGCTTTTCTTACTTTTATCTGCAGTTCATTGACATAGATTTATTCAGCCACTATTTCTTTTAAGGGCTGTTAGGTAATTTTTTTGCAAGGTTAGAGTTTAGTTTCCGGTAGGAATGCTCCCATGAGCGAGAAGGAAACTGTCTAGTGGTCTGCAATAAATTGTGTACAATATTCTTAAAGGGAAGAACTTACTTGTTGAAAGCAGTGGGTACAGTTGGGCAAGTCAGGGCATGGAGGAGACTGGCCTCCTCTTGGAGCCGCAGACGGAGTTTAGCTTTCACCCCTGTCGCCTTCGCTTAGTCTGCAGCCGGTCTCTGCTCTCCCCTGCGTCCCGGGTAGTGTGGGCTGCAGGCAGGAGGTGGGCGGCAGCGGGAGGGAGCGCAGGCCTGTCATAAATCATTTAAATGTTCCATGACTTCAAGGATTTTTTAAAAGAAATAAATAATATAAAATGCCATGAAGCACTGATGTTTCTTGTGTGCATTTGTACAATTCTCATAACCAGTTGTGTTTACGTATATTAAAGTATTACACCAAAGCTTAAACACCGTGAAGAGGGGAATTTGTTTCACAACCACTTGCCTCGAGGCAAAATTATCACTAAAGGCACTTTTTGCCTCCTGTCCATGCTCTGTCCTTCCCGTCTCCTCTTTTTTAACAAGCAGGTCAACAGGAGCTGTGACATGCCCCAGGAAAAAAACAAGGCTGAAATTTTAGGTCTAGGCAGAGCACATCCCTTCTGTTCCTACTCTGTCTCAAGGAGTAAAAGGTGCTGGCAGCGGCCTGACTGGGCAGATCTTATGCTGTGGGATGGTCGTCTCTCCCTGCTGTCTTATGCTTGAGTGTAATACTGTTATGAATTACAAAATTGAGAATTACCGTTGCGAAACGCGCTGGCAGCAGATGGGGTAGGGGCACTGCATCTTGCTGTTGGTATTGGGGTTATGGGTTTTGCCCAGTTCTCCAGCCTTCCTCCTTCACCAGCACTGCTCACCTTGCAGCTTGTGAATTCACTGATGTGACAGCTGAGTAAGCGGAGATAGGCAGTGTCTCTTTCCTAGATGATATAGGCGGTCGCAGTGCAAACAAATTGTGGCGTATGTTCTGGGAAGTCCTGACCAGACATACTGCTATAGGTGTGCTGGATAAGTGGCATCTTCAGGGGTGCAACAGCTTTCATGCCAAAGGAGTGAATGCTGAACGAACGCCGCAGAGGTACCCCGAAGGCTGGGGTGAGAGTGGAAGTCAGAATGTCCCATCTGCATCATCTGGGTAGAGAAAACAACACTTTGGGCTGTCATCTTCCATAGGTCATGGAACTGCTGCAAGTACAAATTTTTAGTCTTTAAGACACAACCTGCCACCTTCTATCTCTTAGCCGATCTCCTGTGATTTATTTATGAATGACAAGCAGCCTGTGTTGATTACTTAATCTATGTAAGTAGCTGAGCAGACTTAAAAATAGGATCTGAAATACAGAAGCCATTTTCTGTGCTTTCCTTGGCTCCAGTAAGAACACTAACCCACCAATTCCTTTGTTTTGAGAGACTGATAAAAGCAGCAGATGGGTTGTGATTAATCGCTAGAAGCATATGATATACGTACTTTTGAATACAACTAAAATCCTTAGCAATTGTCTCCCTATGTTATAAACAGGTATACCATAAAAAGAATTGTTCACGCACAAAAAAAAGTTCGGTAAAATTCAAAATAAGCTGATGTAGTCTCTATGTTCCAGATTAAATAAATATATTGTTAATTGAAAAGCTTTATCCTCTTTACAAATTAGAAAAATTGGAGTGCATAAGCTTAAATAATAAGAAAAGAAAAAATGTTCCTAGGGAGCTACATTTTCTGCAAAGGCTCCCTGAACTTCAGCAGTCCTGTAAATATTTTGTCATGATATCTGAAGAGATTAGATACATGAAGAGTCTGAAGATGCTGTGTTTGTCCAGAAACAAACTTAAAAACCTTCTAGATGTGAGTAATGCTGTTTTATTTTTTAAAGTTTTTTTTTTTCCTTTTGAAAAATAATGTCTTATGAAAACATTTGAGCAAAGTATCTTTTCTTCAAATTATTACATAAGTCATGAAGATGCACTTTAATAATTGCATTCTAGAAGGTATTTGAATACTCTTTCAAGGAAGCTAAGGACATAGAGAATTTAAACTAATAATTCTTTCTTATGTACATATTTATCCTATAAAACTCAAAATATGAATAAAACCTCAGCAGTATAAATAGGCAATAGTTCGTCGTTAAATCCTAATAAGGTTCCATTGAGTTGGGAAAGAGCGAGGGACAAAAGCTGGCATATCTAATGAAGATTTCTCTCTTAGCTGTAAGCAGAATGTTGAAGCACAAAAAGCCAGAAGCAGAATAGGGAAAGTTGTTGCTAACTGGGGATACCTGAATGAAATGTGCAAAAATACCTGGGCTAAGGATGGTGAGGTGAGAGAGAATACAAATGTGGGGCTAGAATAGCTATAGGGGTAGCCAAGCAGATAGATGGCAAACTAAGCTACTAGCCTGTTTTCCAGAAACCAAACAGGGATGGATTGTGTGTGACTCCATGGGATTTGTTCTTATGCTAAAATATATAGGCTTCTGGAAGCAGAAAGAAAAGAATGCAAGTATTCGCTGCTTTTTCTAGCTCATAATTTACTTCATAATACGAAAAATATCAATATACATCTTTGTACAGGTCTTGTGTGTGTCTTTACACCTCATGTGCTTCTGAAGAATTGCACCATATAACCAACCAGCAGTCTCAAACATTAGGGGTACGGTGAGCTCCCTGAAGGAGAGAGCTGTTTTGTAGCTTCAATGGCAGCCTTCACTGCACCTTCTTTGCCGGTTGGTAGAACTGTGGATTACTTCAGTGGATTTTAAAAACTTTAATTTATTTTAAACTCTGATATATTTATCAGTATTTGACATACTGTGTTTTATGTCACTGATTTAGTTGCAGTATTTGCTGTCTGCTTGATCTGCTGCTTGAGTGTGTTATCCATCTGCTTCTGAACATTTTATCACAATTCTTGCAGACAACTGCAGACTGAGAGTCTACATGGAGATCTTTGAGAAAACCTACATGGGACAGGAAGCTGGAGAATGTAATGAAAGAATGCTTTAAATCCAGCTTGAAAAAATGTGCTGTTTGGTAAAAACAAGGATGAGAAGATTCTTAAGGAAAATTACCCTGCTGATATTCCAAACCTTTACATTTTAGTTTTTATGTTTTAGTTGTGACAATCAAGTAAAAGGTTTTTTTGGTTGTTTTTTAATAGAGAAGAAACTGGATGTCATACCTCTGATAGTGTATTCAGGTTTTGCACACTCTGTTATTTCTAAAAGAATGGTAGCTTTGCCCCACGTAATAAGTGATATTCCCCTTCTAGTGCAAGGACACATTACAAAAATTATGATAAGGGCCTTTTTCTAGTTAGACCATTTTGAGCTTCTAACATTTTTTTGTGAAACATCCTTGATGCTGTCTGTAGGAATGGAGCTGTTCAGTTTTTTTTTAATTTAAAAAGGTGCCTTTAACAGTAGGGGTCTTGAGGGGGGACAGGAAGGACACAGATTGCTTTCCTGAACTAGGTAATAATTGAACTGAGACATTTGGGCACTATGTGGGTGTATTGAGAAAATCGTGCATCTAAAACCTGTATACCGGTGTATCTTCTACATTGTAGGATATGTGCTGACTTGTCCCACGTGATAGCCCCTTCAGAAAAAACTTTTTAGCTACAGAGTTTTGACACTGGAACTGGAAGCCTGTGGATTGTTGCAGATCTAGGACATCACTGGGAATAAAAAGAAATGTGGAATAGCTCGCGTGACTGGAGCGGTGCATTGGATGGATACACGCTCTTTAGGAAGGGCGGGCTGGGGAGGTGAGGAAGAGAGGTTTAGCTTAGCGCTCGGCTGTGGGACAGGTGACAGGTCTGTTCATTGCCTGTGAGTCAGGATCAGAGGGGTGGCCTACGTGGGGCATGTTGTAGTGGGTGCCTGCCACACGCCAACCAACATATTTTTACTAATTTTACTAACAGTGGGGTTTTTGCACAGTTCCAGTTCCCTGGCCAACTCCAGAGCCTTAATCTAAAAATAAGACAAAGCAGGCTAAATTTGAAAACTACTGCTTAGTAAATACATTTGATTATGAAGTCTCTATTAAATGCTGTGTATAAAACTCAGTGTCTTTTCCCTGCAAGACCTATTTATGTATTTTAAGAAGAACGCACAAGATAGCCTATTTGTACAACAGGTGAAACCAGGTCTCAGTAGAAGCTTTCTTGTATTCTCACTTGCTTCACGCAATGTGTGGTATGTATCACAGTGATGCATGTAACATCAAAGTTTGTTTGGTGCACAAACTAAGGTATTACCTTCAAAGAGTGGGCTTTCCAAAACCGGTAACAAATGTTACATGATTTAAGAGTCTTGAAATAGTCTTTGTAAATTTCAACTGCATTGGTATGTAACATTTTCCAGATCAAAGAACTTATAAAAGATAATTTCAAGGACTTTCATCAAATACACATTTTAGTAAGGGGAAAAAAT